ATTGTTGAATTTTTTTTAAATGCTAAAAGTATTTTTTAGTTATTGTAATTTAGGGTATTTAAAAATTAGTCCTTAAGCTTCAACTATAAATATCCTAGCTCATTTAGCTTCAAAACCATCCCAAAGCATTTTAGCTTTCTCCCAATACTAGAGAATTTAGAGAGTTTCCTGAGAGTTGTTTTCTCATTTTTATCAAGAGAGAATTATCATTGTTTTCTCCTTGGTAGATCGAGAGAGATTGTAATTCCTATTTTTTCATAGTGAAATTCTTCTACCGTTGCCCGTTGTTTTTACCCTATATTATTTAGGGGTTTTCCACGTAAATTTTGTGTCTTCTTTATCTTTATTTTTATTTTCTCAAATTATCAGTTGCGATTTTGCTCTATCCGATAACCATCTTCCGTAATACACCCAGCGCCTTAGTCGGATTCATATCAATAGCAGCAGTCTTGATTTCCTCTTCCGACACTTCCTTCGAAAGTACTTGTATACACTTAGTTTCCAGCCGAGGGAAATTCCCACGAACAGTGTAGGTATTCTCCCCCACATAATTACTGGAAAATAGCTTGGAAAAGTAAGCTACAACCCCTTGTTGAAGTACATGTTGGTTTGAAACCCAATTCCCCTCATCTAAACGTAAAGAAAATACATTATTTATCCTACTTTGATTCTTCGCACACGCATGAAAAAACTTGGTATTTCGATCTCTGTATAAATACCAATCACACTTGGTTTTTTGAGACCACAAGCTTTCTTCATATTCAAGCACCATTTCTAATTCATTTTTTAATTATATTTCCAGGTTCGAGAGGAACTCAGAGTCACGAACAGCTAGAGCACGATCAATCCCTCTCAATCTAGCCAGCAAGTTCTTTTTTCTTTTCCCAATTTCCCCAAAAACATTTCTATTCCATTCAATGAGCTTTGGTCGGAGTAGTGCAATATTCTCATTGATATCAGTAGTGGTGGACCAATTTGATCGAAGCAAATCTTGAAACTTCGGGTACTTTTTCCATGCTAACGAAGCGGATTAGTGGCAAAGAATTTCTTGGGGTTGGAGGACGAATTTGGAGGAGGATCGGCCGGTGATCGGATCCAAGTTTTTCTAGATGCAGAGTGGTTGATTATGGGAAAGCATCCAATCACGCATCATTGGCCAGGTACCTATCAAGGCGTTGTCGAAGTGTCCCTCGACTCCAAGTAAAATTAGGCCCCTCAAAGCAAGTATCGGAAAGGGCATCATCAAACACGAAATTATTAAACCCCATACTTACATTATGTCTTCTCACAGTACCCCCTGATCTTTCATCAACTCTTAAGTATAGCATTAAAATCGCCTCCTAACATCCAAAGAAAATCAGCTTCCGGGTTGAGTTGTTCTAGTTTATCCCAAATATATTTCTGAAATAATATATTTGGACTGGCATATACAAAAGTAATGTAAAGCAACCGATCAATCTACGGACACCGAATGGTAGTATGAATGTGCTGGTTTGAAACATGGATAATCTCAACTTTAATATCTGATTGCCAAAGGAGCCAAATTCTTCCTCTGAATCCCCGTGCTTCTACTCGGAACGAGTTCGGGAATCCCAACTCTCTGACAACCTTATCAGCTCGAGAACCACTTATTCTAGTCTCCACCAAAGCCACTATCGAAGGACGATAAGCAGCCACAAATTGCTTAAAATATCTTTAAAATACAGGGCTAGCAGCACCCTGACAATTCCATATCATGTTCTAAACATAACCAGATTAAGAATAACCTATCCCGGCCCCAAATTCTTCTTCTCCACCCAATATAATCGGTGGTTGTCTCTCTTTAATTTCAACATCAATCAAATTCGAAGCGGATTGAACCCACTCCGTAAGTAGTGGCTTGGCGGGAGTTTTATAATTCATCTGTTTTTTAATTTTCAATCATTTCCCTCTTGGGTCCTTACTACATTTGATCAGACCAATTTTATGTTGACTACTCCGATCCCGGATTGATAGTTTTTGTTTTTGACTTCCTTCTTTAATGTTAACTGCCAAGTGTTCTCCCCTCGTTATGTTAGGAACTCGTACAGTAACCAATGACTCTCTATCCTCTATTATAAATTCAACTTGAAATCCTTTTCCGCTCATAGCTGTGTTAACTTGTTTCAAAAGATTTTGCTTTGGAGTATTCATGTTAACCTCCTTCAACGTATTTTTGGAGGAATTGCCTTTTTGCACCACACCTACACGTGAGGTAGTCTTATTATGATCCATTACTTTCTTACCCTTGTTTCGTTCCTTAGTGTCACTTCAATAATTCGTGGTTTGTACTTCATTAGCTACGTTTGGGTTCGTATTTTCCTGACCACCCTCATCCGCATTCTTCGCAATAGCTTCAAATCGAGAGCCAATCCCAGCATTTTCTGTATTGTTTCTTCTTTTTCCATCTTGTATCTTCTGAGGTCTTCTCTTTCGACTAGGAGCCACGATCCATGGTCAATATAGATCTTCTTTTACTTTGACTGGTTTCTCTGCAGGTGATTCACGGGTTAGATCATTTACCGCTGGAGTCTCCTTTTGGGTGCCACACAAATCTTGAGTGTGTCTATAAACTCCACACTTATAACATATATGTTGGAGTCCTTCATACTCTAATTTTTGCACAAACCCATCAATCCCAATACATGGTAGAAGAGGTTTATTAAGGTCCACTGCTACTGCCAGCCTGGCAAATTTTCCTCTTTCCCCAGCATTGGTGTTATAATCCACTTTGATAATCTTGCCAATTTCCGACCCTATCAAACGAAAAAAGGACTTCGTATAATACCTGTATGGAAGGCCTGGTATACGAATCCAAACAATAACCTATGATGGGTGACGATCGGAGGTGTTGAAGTTCCTGTTCCACGGTTGTACCGTTAGATAGCTGCCAAAGATCACCCAAGGACCTTCTGTAAGTATTCTTACATAGTCTAGTTCCATCCGTACCAGGTAATAGGCGTTATCTAAATCGACTAGTTGGAAGTGTCCTTGTGGCTACCATAACAATTTAATCTTGTTCCACAACGCTCGGTATCCGATTGTTTTGCCCAGGAGTCTCACGATGACCGTCTTCCAAATGTTATAATATATAGATTCATGTACTCGGTTTGAGAATTGTATAACAGTGTAAGGTCCGCTCCTATCCACATGTACATCTCATTCTTGCAGCATTATCTCTTCATCTTTAAACTTAAAACCTTCAGTTGGAATTCCCTTCTACCCAGGGTTTCAAATCGCGGTTGCGGTCGCGTTTTCGGTTATTTCGGATTTACCGTGATTGCTGCCGTCGTGGGCGCTATTAAGGCTGCCACGGACGCTATTGCGGCCATCGCGGGTAACTCGGATCTATATCGCAGTTGCAGACCATTTTTTAAAACCCTGCTTCTCCCCTCTTAACGTCACCGCATAGGATTTAATGGGAGTCACATCCTGTTTGTTTGAGATTACAGGGATCCCATGTACATCCTCGTTGTTCGCCTGTGGTCCCTATTGTATAGGGACATCAGTCTCGTTCATCCTCTCCACGAATTCTCTTTCCATGGCAGCCCCAGAATCTACTACCATGTCTCCACATACCTCATCGCTTCTACTTTTTTTGGGAAAATGTTGGCTCTCTATCGGGACCGGAGAGTTGGTGGAACAATAGCGTTGTCACCGCCTGAGGCGGAGGCAATTTTGTAACCATGCACAAACCCTAACGAAAACTTAGCGTGATCCAATAGAATCAAAGATCGTAAAATATTTTATTATTTTAAGAAGTTTTAGATTTGAGCATAATATTTATAGGATTATTTTTTATTTTTAATTGATTGAAAGTTTTTTGAACAATTATAATATTTTATATTAATAAAAGAAATTAATTTTCAATATATTTTTTCGGAAGTTATTAATGGAGATGGTTTATTTGTGTCCCCGAATTGATAAAGATAGTTCAAACGATAAGATTGAAGCAATGTTTTAAATTAAGCATAGTATTTCGTAACTTCATCATCACCCCATTACCCATCATCTGAGATCTTCAAGGAAGCCCACTTACCCTTCCCATATTCGGTTTTCATTGAATTTATTGTTGCAAGTGGCAAGCATGGGATGCCATTTGACAAAATAATTAAAAATTAAATGTTTAAATTAATTATATTTTCATTTACTTTAAGTGTTTATTTATTTTATATTGAAGTAAGTGTCCAATAGTTTTAAAGTTGTCGTTAAAATTTTTGTTATTTAATCAATACTTGACATGTAATATATATTTTTAAAATTTTAATTTTTTTTAAAAAAAAATTAAAATTCATAATTTATCTATGATCTCTAATTTCAAATTTATAAGTTTCATATATATTATAAATCGGTCACCACTACTCATTTATTCTGTTAATCGTATAATAAAATCTTTTCAGAAATTTTCTTAATAGAAATATTAACTAAAATATTAAAATTTTAATGATTTTTAATAATTTATTTTATATATACGATACATCAATAAACAGTTTAAAACTTATAAAAATATTAAAAATACAAATATTACAGTTTTTAAAATTAACATGAAGTACATATAAACTGCGCGCGAACTAGTATATCATGGTCATGAATATTTAATGTTTCAATCAATATTTTCATTTTTTTTAAAATTATATTCATTTTTAAAAAATAAAAGATAAATTAATTTTTTTTGAAATATTACAAAATTAATTTAATTAAAAATATTAGGACAAAATTAACAAAGTGCAAGTATTGAGGGGGTGATTTATCGTTATCTCTATTCTTTTAACACGGAAGCCCAATCACAGCATTCGAAAGGAGCTTTGAAAGGCGAAAAACCCTAGTTAGCATTCCATATATCTTTTAGCCTCTGCTCCAACCATTTTGTAACATCGCCGTTCATTAGCTTCAAATCGCAGAGACAGCGTATGGTACTCTCTCTATCACTGCATTCCTCTTTTTTTCATTTTTTTTATTGATTTCACTCGGTGAAAACACAGTGGGTTGGCGCAAAGATGAGTCGCGGGGCAACAGCTGGGCCTAAGGGAAAGAAAAAGGGAGCATCCTTCACCATCGATTGTTCAAAGCTGGTCGAAGATAAGATCATGGATATCGCTTCTCTGGAGAAGTTTCTTCAGGAAAGGATCAAGGTTGGCGGTAAGGCCGGTGCTCTCGGCGACTCCGTCACCGTCACCCGCGAAAAGACTAGGATCAACGTTTCCTCCGACTCTAACTTCTCTAAGCGGTACTTTCTCCATTTCTCCTTTTTATATTTTAGCTGTATTATTGAAATTTTCTGAATTCTTAGATCTTGAGGTTTGTTCGATTCTTAAGCAATCATGTATAGGTTAACTCTTTTAAATTTAGGGTTAGGGTTAGGGTTAAAGGTCAAGCTGGATGATGACAAGTCTTAAGGCTTGTTTCTCAAAGACATTCGCAGTGGCCGCCTGAGAGCTACTGATGCTTTAATCCTTCCTCGGATGTCTGAGGTCTTGATAATGTAGTTTTTACTTTGTTTTTTTTATAGGAAGTTTTTACTTTGTTGTTTGTCCGTTTTTCACTTCCAGAGCGGATATAAATTGAATTAATTTAAGGGTATGGCGTTTTGTTTGCTCTATTTGTGAATTCAATCTTTTTAAGGAAATGGTTTTGTTTATTAGGTGAACTTCATGTTTTTAGCTGCTTTGTGGTATGCATAAAGCAGAGGACTTTGGTTTAAGATCATTAAATTCTTCTGCTATGGCCCTTGATTGTCTGATACTCTCCCAGATGTCTTGGGTTCTTTGTTTTATAATGTTGAACTTTGGTTTAAGATCAATGGTTAAATTCTTCTGCTTTGATATTTGATTGTTTGATACACTCTCACAAGTATTGGGTTTTTTGTTTTAAAGGAGGAAGAACAATCTTTTAGTTTTAAAGCTGGACGTGAGTTTTGGCTGATGGTTGTCTGGTTTACAGGTACCTCAAGTACTTGACTAAGAAGTATTTGAAGAAGCACAATGTTCGGGATTGGCTTCGGGTGATTGCTTCCAACAAGGACCGGAACATTTATGAACTCCGCTACTTCAATATTGCCGAGAACGAAGGTGAAGAGGAAGAATAAAGAATCAATTCATCTCCTTCTCTTTGTTACCATTCTGGTTTTATTAGTTTCGAGGGAACTCATTTATATTCAGGACTTGTTTGGGGTTGGTTTTTGACCCCCAACTTTTTTTTTATATCAAGTTTTGGTTGCTGATAGTTAATTTCTTTGTTTATGTATTAATCTGTTAGATGCTATGAAAAGGATTCATATTTCTTTGTTAAGTTCATTGTTAGAGCTCTTAAATGATCTTGCACCACAGGTTTTTCTATTATTCGGTGGCCTTGTTAAATCAAATTGCAAATAAAAAACTATTTAAATTGCTATAAAATTAAGAAAATGGCAAATATGGGCAACGAAATTCAATTAATGCTTTCACATTTAAAATACAATTTTCTTTTATTAATAGAATGTCTCAATTAGTTGAAGTTTGATTTATAAGGGCTAGTGAGATGCATAAATTACATATTTTTACTTTGATAATTACATAAATTTAAGCTTACTTATTATTAACTAGGTTAATTTAGTCAATTTCTGTGTAGGTGTAATTTGAGAAGCAAGATTACATAGTTGATGCAAGAAAGAAGAATACCAAATCATATATAAATATTTTTTTTATTGCAATTTTTAATATTTAGGGTTTTTTTAGTCATTTTGTTGCAATTGTTGATTATAATCGGGTTCTTGGTGTTGATAAAGCTGTCGATAAATTAAATTCGATTATTATAATCGATTTATCACAATTATATATATATAATCAGGAATGATCATCCAGCTCAGTTGGTAGAGCACAAGGTTCTTAACCTTGAGGTCGTGGGATCGAGTCTCATAGAGGGTATTTCATAATTTGGAGGTCTCCTACGGAAGCTGCTCTCAACCTAGTGTTGGGGCAACCTACTATCTTACCTCCCCCTTACCCCATTACATATGGGAACAAGGGACAACAATTTTATATATATATAATCAACTTCGACATTGAAGTTAATATCTTAAGTTAGTTTTTTTTACCAGCGGTTAAATCAATTTTTATTTCAATTTTTACAATATTTTAATTCATTTTAAATATTTTTGAATAAATTTAAACCCTTTTTATTTATTTTTGAAGATCCAAGTCGAAATATTAGACATGAATTCGTCCTGAAAAATCTTGTCCATCATTATTTTTATATCTAATAACTTAATTATTCGATCCTACTTTTTATTACTAAATTTATTTTTGTTTGACACTTAGAATATTACTTTTTTTTGTGATTTCGGTGCCCATCAAAGACTAATTTTTTAAATAAATACTTAATTATCTTTTTTTATTTTACTAATAACCTTTAGCCATATATGAAATGTTTTGTAGTGATAAGTGAAAAAGAAAAGGTTAAGAAATTGAGTGAAGCTAAAAAAATCGAAGAGATATTTATACACATAAAACGTAACTTTTATGAAAATAGCAAGCTATGGCTTTCAAAATAATAAAAATAAAAAAATAATAACAAAAAGTTATATTTAAACACAATCAACACAAATAAATATTACAAAAAAGTAACTTCAACAATAAATTGAAAATAATGAAAGACAATTAATAACCAAATAAAGCTACAAAAGCAAGTGTAATTAGGAGTGAACAAAACTCAATTCGACTCGAAAATTTTATTTTTTTGCAATTTGAAAAAACTCTATTTGAATTGACTTCGAGTTGTAATTTCATAAATTTGACTCGATTCGAAAAAAATTCAAGTTCAAAACGAGTCGTAAAATACAACTCGAATAACTCAAATTTTTTAGTAATTAGTATATTGATTTTAAGTTTGAGTCAAGTCCCTCGACTTTATACAGTATATGTAAATCACACATGAAAAAAATACCAAAAATATATATATGTCTTGTATATGATTATAAAATATCATTTAAATTAGAATCAAATGATGACATAATATTGTAAATATTTACAATATAATTTAAATAGGAACTCGAAAAGTTGACTCCATTTAAAAAAATTTAAATCAAACCCTAGTTATAAAATAGAACTCGTTAACTCGATTAATTCAAAAAATTTTGACTCGACTCGATCGAACGCTCACCCCTAAGTGTAATAGATAATTGGATTTTTTTTAAAAAAATTAACTATTATAACTTAGGGTAAAGTACACAAATGGTCCCCCAACTATACGTAATAGCTTTGTTGAGTCATTTGACTATTAAAAACTACAAAATGATTCTCACCTATAGGTTGTTATTTTGTTGAGTCCCACGACGATTAAAAATTACAAAATGGTCACTTGACTATTCATATATGCCAAACTTGTCATTTTCCGTTGAAAATTAGTGAACGTCTGAATTGGGCATTAACATGTTGACTGAGATATGATAAAATCTGATTCCGAGACCGTTTGAGTTGCATTTTGTAGATCGATTATCCGTTTACATTATGTCGTCGAGCCAATGTTTGAAACATTATGATGTCGAGAAACTGCTTGAAAGCAACGTTTGTTCCAGTAGACATCATTAAAATATAATTTTATCATATCCTAATTAGTAGGTTAACGTTTAACTCAAACGATCGTTAAATTTTTAACAGAAAAAAGACGAGTTTAGAACATATGAATAGACGAGTGACCATTTTGTAACTTTTAATAATTAAGAGACTCAACAGAACAACGTCATATAGTTGACAGACTATTTTATAAGTTGTAATAGTTTGGGAACTCAACAAAGTAATATTCTATAGTCGGAAGATCATTTATATACTTTACCTTATAACTTAAATATAAATAATATAACTAATTTATAGTCTTTTCAACGATCTGATGCTTCATCGTTCTTCTCTTTTTTCTTGTAAATTAGGTACCGTAATATTAGGTACAGAGAAATATTCTACACCTGCTTCGCCATTATATGGTGCAGTGACTGTTAAATAAAAGTTTACTGAAACTTTCTCTAAACTCAATCAAATATCTAACATCCTATAAACTTGATCAAAATCCTGAAACCTGATGTTTACAAAAATTTGCATGTCTGCCAATGCCAATGTCGAAGTTCAACTGCAACAACAACAGGACGAGGAACGGATGGTTATTCAAAGCTCAACTCAACGATGAAAATGATCCGTTGCTCCGATCAGCCATCCATTCAGCTTCTCTTCGTTTCCAGGAGACGCACAAACGAGGCAATCTGTAATCCGATTCTTGGTTTATGAAACCAGTGGCTAAGCCTAATAATCATTTTTGTTTATTTGTGTTTGCAGAGCCTCTATTTGTGGATCCTTATGCTGGGTGCTTTGTTCCAGCTCACACTCGGATGGATTTGGAGAATCCATTGAGACATTACTGCATAGCAACCAAGTTCATCGATGATAAGCTGCTTCGTACAGCAAACCACATGGATGGGCTTAAACAGGTGTTTTTTTAAACTTAATGTATAGTGTTACGTTTTATCCCCATTGCAGAAGAATGTTGAACTCTTTTAGCTGCGAATTGCAGGTTGTGATCCTATCGGATGGAATGGATACTCGGCCGTATAGACTTAACTGGCCGAGCTCCACCATTATATTTGATATCTCTCCTGATAGGGTCTTCCAAAACGCAGCTCAAAAGCTAAAAGGTACACGACTGTTGGACTTATTCTGCATATTTTGCTACATGTACTGCCTTTGTAAATCTTCTTTGAACAAACTAGGCGTTGGGGCTAAGGTCCCAAGAAACTGCTTGTACCTTCATGTTCCACTGGAATCTACCGATATACAACAGGCGTTGCGTGCGACGGGCTTTAATGGAAACCGTCCAAGCATATGGGCTATCCAGGTTATATAAGGCTTATTCCCCTCTGCAACTTCTAAAGAACTAACTTTCTGAAGGAATTTCCTTTGCTGTCATGTTGTTTGGTAGGGACTTCCTGTGATGACTTTGGCAAGGTTTGAAGAGATTTTATCCACAGTCAATGGTATGGCTATGAAAGGAAGGAAGTGTCTTCCTAGGGGAGTTGCCTGCATGGTTGGCCGAGACCGAATTCGGTTCCAAGGTCTGTCGTATGTACATGATATGTCATTACAGGAAACACATGCCATGATGTCTGGTCTTTTTTGTGTTGCAGTCTAGCACAGCGGAATGGTTGGGCAATCTTTTTATGAGCAATGCTTTCAAGGTAGACATGATTAGGTACAATGATGTGGCTAAGAGTCTAGGTGAGGTAGTGAAACCGGGAGAACACAAAAACATACTCTTCTTCTCGGAACAATTGCGGTTTTCGAATGCTGAGGTAGAAGATCATAGTCGAACATATATCATTCATGACCTTGTTCATATGCTCTGGGGTTAACTGATGGCATTGTTTTCTTTTTTGAATGAAAAGATGGAAACTCGGAGGGCAGAGATGCAGGAGGAAGGTTTTGAGGAGCATTGAATGTAAAAATACAGAGTTGTTTCTCTTTCTTTATATTCTTTTTGTTTCATGCCAATTTCCTAATTGTACATAATAATTGAAGGCTTGCTGTTTTGTTAGTCTATTCAAGGGTCAGACTTTTGGTTTAAGTTGTTTTAAATTTACAAGGTTTGAAAAAAATATTAGACACAAAATAGATTTGGGTAAAAAAATTATGTTCGTTTAAAATATTAGATCCGATTTTCATTTAAAAAATTATGTTCAATTTAAAAATAAAAAATTGAGTTTGACTTGATTTGAAAGCTCGTGAGCTTTGTTAAGTTGAACTCGAACTCAAAATAAAAAATTGCAGTTCGACTCGAGCTTGAAAAAAATGAACTCAAAACATTTTTAAACTTAGCTCGTTGAAGGTCGAACCTGAAACTTAAGTGCATGAAAAACATATATTTAAAAAAACATATAAATGTTAATATTTTTAATAATTTAATTTAAAATTCTAAAATATTATTTTTCGAGTTGCTGGCAAGCTTTTCGAGTTTGATATCAAATAGTTCGCTTCAATTCGTTAAGAACTCGAGTCAAATTCATCCAAATTGAGTGTTAAATGAATTTTGACCAAGTCCAAATCGAATAATTATTTTACTCTCAATTATTTTTGTTAAAGTGTTGACTTTAATTTTTTTTTAAGTATTTGGATGACAAACATAATGTTTTTAGAAAATATTCTACTTTAAACACTTCAACAATAATGATTAAAGATGTTGAAAATTTTGAATAAATTAATAATAATATAAGAAAACATTTGATTCTTAGAATATAATATCGTCTTTAAAAATATAACTATTAAAAAATAAAATGGTTCAACATATTATCGAATTATGTTATATTACTTGTTTAATTCACTGGTCGGAATGCTAAATTTCATTATTTGGTTAACAAAATGTAATTCCCAAAACTAAAATCGCATTTTATTAATATTAATTGAAAGATTTTTTATACGAGAGTTCAAGGGATTTTTTTCATTTGATTCTAAAACTTGGTGTTCTATTTTTATAAAAAAAAACCCCTAAATATTAGGTTCAACGTAATATTATTATAAGAGAAAATAACCTCAGTGACCGAAAATTCCTTATAATATACGATTTTAACCAATTTTTTTACGATTTGCCAAAATGACCAACAAAATCGCAATGCGATCTCTAAATCGCAACGCGATCTCTATTATCGCAATTCAGTTTCCAGATTCGCAACGCGATTTTGACCATCGCATTGCGATTTTCGAAATCCGCGTTGCGATTTAATGCGAATATGTAAATCGCAATGCGAATATGTAAATCGCAACGCGATAATACGTGATCGTAACGCGATTTTGACTATCGCAACGCGATTCGGACTATCGCAACGCGATAATACGTGATCGCAACGCGATTCTGACTATCGCAACGAGATTCTGACTATCGCGTTGCGATAATATAAAATCGCAATGCGATTTTCAAAGCGCTATTAGTATCGCAACGCATATTTTATTTTCAAATTCCAAACACGAATATTTACCCGTAATCGCAACTCTTAACCTAAAACCCTAAATCACAACTCAGTCTCATCTCTCACTCTCTACGGCAACATCCGTCCCCATCTCCGACGAAATCCATCCCCATTTCCGGCGAAATCCATCCCCATCTCCGACGAAATCCGTCTATCTCCATCTCTCAGAGCCACCCTCACAATCATTCACGATCAGAAATGGAAAATCAACCAAATCAACCACCGAGGGTTAGTTTTTTTAATTATTTTTATTTTAAAATTTTTGCTTTATTATTAGGTTTTTCATATTGAAATTAATGATAAGTTTATTGGTAATTTCAATAATAGATTGTTGTCAATACTGCTACTGTTTAGTCTTTAACCCTGTGAAGTTAGTATTTGTCTTTGTTTTGTCTTTTGGTTGAAGTAATGTAATTCATTCAAGTTTCAATTTTAGACAATGACCATTTGAAACCGAGAATCGCAACGTGAAATGAAAATTGCAACGACAAAATTCGCGTTGCGATTATCTCGTTACGATAGCCATTTCACGTTGCGATTATCTCGTTGCGATAGTCAAATTCGCATTGCGATAATCATTTTCGTGTTGCGATTTTCATTTTCGTGTTGCGATTTTAAGTTTCAGAAACTATTCTTCTTCTGCAAATTGAAACTTGAATGAATTGCATTACTTCAACCAAAAAACAAATTCAAATACGAAATTCACAGTGTTGCAAAATTAAGTTTGAAGAATAAACTACTACGCTTTATGTTTATTATTGTTTTTGGTATATCTTCACAGTGTAGTTTTTGGTATATCTAACTTGGTATGTTTATTGTTTTTGTAGAACTTTTTTTCGGCTCAATTGACCTTAAGGAATAAAATAAGCCTAGTCACTACAATTGCGTCGAAGCTTTCACCTGTACAAAGACAATTGTTTGAGGATACTTGCTTCGGGCCATGGCTGAAAGTACAACATCCAGGTGGAGATGCTATGTTGACCCATTTGTGGCTTCAGACCATGACACGCGATCTACCCGAGAGTATAGAACGTGGTAATGAAGAGATATGGTTTCATTTTCCACCGGCGTATACGTGTTTTGGGCGGGAGGAGTTTTGCTTAATCACTGGTCTACGCTTCGGACACGATGATGTAGGTCGATACACTAGTCATATTACCCGCCCATCATGGTTATCCCGGGTTTTTCCTGAGCTGTTAATGGAGAAGCCGAATTTACACGTCGACGACTTGACGAGATTATTTAATAAAAAAGATGGTTTTACTCGGATGGATGACGTTGATGTTGTCCGAGTATGCCTTTTAGTACTTTTGTATGCTGGCTTTTTAGGCAAAGAGGGCAGACAACCTATTCCTAAGGACCTAATATTATTGGTAGAGGACCTAAATGCATGGAACCTATTTCCGTGGGGTTCATATCTATGGAAAGCTACCTGGAATAAGTTGTCGTCTACCTTTGATGACCGCAAAAGTTTGTGTGGCGATGGTTTCAAATACACTTTGTCAGGTTTTATTTGGGCCTTTAAGGTAAGAATTTCTATATAATGTTTCCAAAATTATAATCAATTATTTTAACAATTACTAATGTTTGTGTATTATATTGTTTGTAGATTTGGATATTTGAGGCTTTTCCCGACATGCAGACATATGCATTCAAAACTTCAAATGATATTCCTAGGGTTATTTCCTGTAAGAGGAAATGGCGGCTGTTGATTTGGGAAGAGTTACTACGGTATACGACAATAAATGATGTAAGTTAACATAAATACTACCATATATAAACAAGTTATTACTAGTACACATTTAACTTTATTTGAGCTTTTATATTGTTAGGAGGCCAACACTCCATTACAGAGGCTGACACCCACGGAGGCTGAGCTTGCCACTGATTGGTGGCAAGCTAGTAAGCGTTTTTTTGATGGCACGGATGATGAGCAGCCTTCACTTCGAGAGCCATCACCTCACCCAGAGCCATCACCTGATCGACCACACTATACACCTCCACAACGAGAGTCATCACCTATTCTGTCACATCATCGAGCCTCTTCTCCACCATCACCTCATGATAGACGACCGACAAAGATGCCATGACATTTATCTCCCTGTTCTCCACCTCCACGAGATGAGTTAGGGGAGTTACGTGATGAGGTCAATGCCTTGCATGAGGAGGTCAGTACTTTACGCGATGACAATGGTGAATGGCGTGAGGAGGTATCTACTTTACGTGGTGAGGTAGCGGCTCTACGTGAGATGGTAGCATCGTTGCAGAATGAGGTTCATACTCTACGCAACGAGGTAAGTTTAATATTTTTCATTTAACTTGATTTACTCGTAATTTCACTTAGATTAACCATTTCACTTGGATTGCTTAGTAAATTCATTCGGTTGCTGCCAATACTGCTAAACAGTTCTAAAATAACTTAGTATTTGTCTTTGTTTTGTCTTTTGGTTGAAGTCAGTAAATTCATATTTGTCTTTTGGATTGCTTAGTAAATTCATTCGGTAGTAGTTTATTCTTCAAACTTAAATTTGCAACACTATGAAGTTAGTATTTGTCTTTGTCTTTTGGTTGAAGTAATGCAATCCATTCAAGTTTCAATTTGCAGAAGAGGAATAGTCGCAACACGAATTTGACTATCACAACGGGATAATCGCAATGCGAAAACGACTATCGCAACGCGAAAATGACTATCGCAACGCGAATTTGACTATATCAACGGGATAATCGCAATGCGAAAATGACTATCGCAACGCGAATTTAGTTTCGCGTTGCAATTTTGGTTTCGCGTTGCGATTTTCTCGTTGCGATAGTCATTTCGCGTTGCGATAGTCAAATTCGCGTTGCGATAATCATTTTCGTGTTGCGCTTTTAAGTTTTGTGTTGCGATTTTAAGTTTCAGAAACTATTATTCTTCTGCAAATTGAAACTTGAATGGATTACATTACTTCAACCAAAAGACAAAGACAAATACTAACTTCACAGTGTTGCAAATTTAAGTTTGAAGAATAAACTACTACCCTTTATGTTGTCCTTGAACATGCACTAAACCTATATGTTATCCTTTTAAATGTTTATATAAGTGCTTACTTCCGGAATGTTATCTGATGCATTTTGTGAACTATGATAGAATAATGACTTGGGTGAATACCGTGCAAGTTTGAAACATATTTGTCTTTGTTTTCACTGTTTAATATCATGTATGTTTATTTACTGATTTTATGTATTAATTTATTTTTAGCGGCCCGATAAGGTGGATGCTTTACGTCGGGTTTTTTCTTGCACGACGGGGTTCATGCATCAGACGGCGTGCACGTGTCATTAAATCTTCGTTCACCCCAATAGTGCGAAGACTCCGTAAAAAGAAGCCCGACTCACCTGTCATCGTTCAAGAGGCCTCTCCTATCGTTCAAGAGGCCCCTATCATCCCTCAAGAGTCCCCTCCCACCGTTCAAGAGGCCCATGTTATCGTTGAATAG